GTGATGCGTTCCTATCGGTAAATTTTAAATTTCAGAGTTTATGTACGCAGTTTATCTTGGGGTTTTGTTCTTTGAATATGTATCCTTTCATACTCAGCTAAAGTTGTCCTGGAATCCTATTGCTTAATAGCACACTTTTTAAATAGATACCTATTTTTCCGGGGCTTAAATCTAGGTGAATCTGGTAGTCATTTTAATTTTTGAAATACGTTGATGAATTGTTATGATTTGTAGGTATTTTGACCCATGTAAAGTTAGCATTTGACAGCTGAAATGAGATGCAATGCATGCTGGAGAGAATTAGAGGGGCGTGCCATTTCCACAACATGTGGTCACCTTTTGTGTATCCAGATTTCTGAAATTATGTCATTTGATTCCTCCTTTTTATATGGTCATCATACTTATAATATCAAATTGGATTGTTTGTTCTGTATTTTCTGTTTCTTGTGGTAATCAGTTTATATGTATATTGTTTCCTTAACACTGTAAAAAGGTACAGATGACGCTAATAAGATATTAAGTAATGATGGAGTATGCCCAATCTGTGATCAAGTGCTTTCAAAGAGGTATGAAGTTGATTGAGATCTGCAGAATATTTCCTGACGGAAGGCAGGACATGATTTTTTGATTGCTGTAATATGATCCTGAATAAAATGGTTGTCTGATTTAACTAATTATCTCCCAACAATTGATTACCAGCATTTATATTTATGATTTACTTGATGATGACTCACTCTTTTCTATTTTTTTTTCCTCTGTCATCAGTCTCATGAAACCTGTGGATATCAGTCCTAATGATGAATGGATAAATGTAAGTAAACATTCTACTGAACTAGAATATAAGGCCTGTGCTCTAATATTCTGTTCTTAACATAAAAATAATAAGACATACATCACATAAGTTCTATATTATATATAAACAGATATTGATGTGTTAACTATATGCATCTAACGTATGCTTTCAGCTTTCATATTTTGTATTTTTCTTAAAAAGTAGTTTGATGAATTCCTTTCACTTCTATGCTAGCTTTCTTTATTTCTCATAACCATTGCTCCTCATCTTTGTGCTGTTTACTGCTGCAGATGGCCATGGCGGGAGTATCTCCACAGATATGTATCCTTTATAGACCATTGATTAGAGGGACCTGTACAGAAAATAGAGAATATAATGTCATCCTAGTTGTAGCTAAGCAGTCAAATGAAGACCGGAAAGTAAACTAGAAGCAATTAGTGAAAAGTCATTCAAATGATTAAGATTATACTGGGCCATGTGTTTTCCCTTGAACAAAGCCAGTGTTCAAGTCTTGTTACAGAAGTGTGATGTTCTACATGGGGCAAAAGGAATTGGAGATGCAGTATAAAATGAACAGGATTGTTTCTCAGTGTCGGCAGAAATGTGAGATGATGCAACAGAAAGCTGAGATGATGCAAGAAAAGTTTACAGAAAAGCTGGAACAGGTGCATACGGCCTATCAAAAGATGGCCAAGAGATGTCAGATGATGGAACAGGAAATTGAGACCTTATCCAAGGACAAGCAAGAACTCCAGGAAAAATTTTCTGAAAAATCCAGGTCTGTGTCAATGTGTCCCTTTAATGGCCCATTTAAACCAGATGATCTGGATCTTGATGCCTAAAATCTGTTTCAATTCCAGGCAGAAGAGAAAATTAGATGAAATGTATGATCAATTGAGGAGTGAGTATGAGTCAGTGAAACGGTCTGCCATACAGCCTGCAAACAACTTCTATTCCAGGAATGAGACGGATTTGTTCTCCAATCCACCTAACATAATGGATGAGAGAGAAACTGGCAGAAAAGGTAGCCTTTATTTTTCCTTGACCCAGATGACAATACTATTAGGCATCCACGAATTAAATTATGCAAAACACTCAGTTGGCCTTATGATCAGTTGAAGTGTCTGTTCTTTGGATGATGTAATGACATAGTATAACCATATGACCTATTTTCTGCTTAGATATTTCCAAAACTAGGTAACTTACTTGGTGCAGGTTGGCCGGTGATCACTCCTGAAACTCCAGGGCCAAGAGAGGACGTATGGCCGGCAAGACAGAATAGCAATAACTCCGGTCACTTCGATATCTCCGTTGGTTCACCAGCAAAGCAAGCAGTTCTCGTTGGGGATACAGGGAATAGAAGGGGTGGAGGAGCTCATCCTGTTTATGGAGCTGGCCCAACTAGTAACCCGTCAATGACTTTGAGGAACTTGATACTGTCTCCAATCAAACGGCCTCAGCTCTCTCGTAACCGCACCCAATTATTCACGTAAGTCACACCCTTAATTTTTTTTCGCTGACTCTTCTATATTTAGCAAGTGAAAGAATTATGCAAAATAAAGAAGGAAAAAAATATAATTAGTAGAAGGACGAGAGGGTGGGGGAAGCTTTACACACTTTCACCTTTTTATGTCACTTTCTATCATAAAGGTATAGGTAGGTTAGGATTTCACTCCCAATTTCCTCCGACACGAACTCTCTATCTCTGAATATTCATAAATTTTGATGTTTCAGGCTGTAGGCTCAGAGGAGGCTAATGTTGTACCATCTTGGTCAAGCTATCTGGTATTGCTTCATCCCTTGGGTAGTAGTTTTATAGTGTTCTATAACATTCTTAAATTTTCTTACCTCGAAACGTTAATAGTGAAGAGTAGCTAACAGAACGGATACCAAAATGTAGATTAATGTATTACTTCTGTTTGCTGAATGCTGAAAGGTGAAAAATCAACGACGCCCGTCTGCCTTTTTTCCCCACCTTTTCTCATCACGTTAAAAAGGATTGAACCCTCTATTTCTACTTGTACTCTATCCGACTCTTGGCATTCTTTGAATAATGTTCCTTTTTCCCTGGAATAATACAGAATGAAAGAAGGGGTATTAGTGTTTTGTTCTTAGATCAATTATTATTGGGATGGATGTTTTAAACAACTAGAAGTGCCCTCCACATAAACCCGTTTGGCATCACAAGCCCTAAAAGTGATTTTCACAAAAACCATGTCTGGACTGGTGTTCTGAATTAATTAGCTTTTGGAATGAAGCAACTTTTTGTTGCTTTTGCACCAGGTTGCTTCAAGGTGCGTTAGAAAATAGAGCATTACATTAGATGTGTGAATAAGCTAATTCCTATGGATGTTTATTTGCCGAGCACCTAAACGTTACACTAACTCTTTATTTTTAAAATTTTAATTTTAATATTTTTCTGAAAAACATCACATTATACACATATAACATATGTATTCAATAAAACCCCTATTTTTTAATCATTTTAATCTAAACATGCTTTTCAATTAATTATTTCAAAAAGTTTCAGTTTATCAAGTTATTTTTTTTAAAAAAAATTTCTCTAAATGGAAATGCATCAGACCTGCTAATGTCTATACCAAATTTAGTTTGCAAAAGTTAAATAGAATAAAACTCTTTTTTTTTTTTTTTTGAGCTGAAGAATAAAACTCATTTTTACCAACGTGAATCTAAACGCCCATAACGTGAGATTGCGTAATGCGTATGTCATATTTGAGTTCAGATGGCTAATTAGACTTTCCAAGTCGTATTCCATTACATCATTAAAACATTTTAGGTTAGTTCAAGAGATTAACAAAAGTTAAATGGGAGAAGTTAAATTGTACCATAATACTACCTTCATTGCTTAATATAAAAATTAGTTGGCTAATTTAAATAAATTAAAAAAATTTGTTAAATAAGTTATTTATAATAAATAAATGTTACTTTTCTTAATCATGTGTTTTATTTAGAACTATTATTTGGTGAAACCTTTAATATATGTAATTATTACAAGTACTATTTTGAATAGATAAATATAAGGGATAAAATAAATCGAGATCTTATATTTAGAACAAAATTAAATATCAAACTAATTTTTATATTAAAACAAGACATAACACTTTTTTTTGTATACTATTTGATCTTGTCTTAAAAATATTAAATATTTGATAGATGCGCAGATGAAACCTGGAATTGAAAGGATCTTTCAAGGTCCAAACAAAAGAGAACTTGAAAGTATTTTATCTTGATCCGACAAAGAGGGGTGCAATGAGATTTGGAAACACTGTTTATTATAGCAATTTCTAGTTAGTTATACTTTATCTCAATTTTTAATTTGATATCTAAATATTTTTCAATTAAGTACTTTAGTTTTGTTTTGTTAGTATCATTAGTCCTTGTATAAAAACTGTGTTAATAAAGTAAAATTAAAATATTATATTTAATTAAGAGAAAAATACGTAGGTAAGAAAAAAAAGGTTTAAAAAATAGTTTTCCCAAAAATAATTTTATGTGAAAAGAATCAAAATTTTGATTTAAAAAGTAAGCAAATGAATAGACAAGATAAACTGAAAATGTATTAAACTTGATAGAATCGCGTTAAACAACAATTGTAAAACTCTTACTTCTTCCCTTTTTCTTGACCAAATATTTTTTTCCTCATTTTACTAAAAGTAAAAAGTAAAGTAAAATAAAAATTTTGTAGTTAAATTATAATAAGGGAATTTTCAATATATAAAATATTAAATGTTGATGATAGAAACTGATTACTGGATACCTAGGAAAGTATATTTAATCTAAAGTGTATGCTAGAGTACTCCCTTAGGTCAACAATACAAGCCGTTGATGATTGATTTGGTCTAAAATATTAAATATAAACTATTTTGAGAAGTAATTAATGTTTATTTGATACTATTTTTTTCTTTCAGAATCTTATTTATTAGTATGAGGAAAGTTCGAGAAAAATTTTCAATTTAAAACACATTTAATAAACATTTTTTGATATCCATAAATCCATAAATTGGTGTAAATGAGCGAATGACTTTTATATTGTGGAGCGAAGGGTGGACTGTGGAGTTCTTTTTGACGAACCGGGACGTTCCGGTTCGAGAGGCAGTATCAGTCTTCTTTGTTTTGTTTTGTTTTGTGTGTTTTTTTTTTTTTTTCACCTAAAAAATCACAGTAGGGTTTTACTCTGCCTTGCTCTATGGCTCGTTCTGTCTGCGAAGCTATCTGCGCAATCTCTCCTTCAACATTTCAATATCTGATTTGTGCTCAGACCCGATGGTTTTTTGTGAGGTACGCTTCTTCAACTTCGTCCAATGGGCATTCTTTCACCGTTTCGTATCTCATTGACACCTGTGGCTTCTCACCTACACAAGCTGATTCAACTTCTAAGCACGTCAGCTTAGAAACGCGGGATAAGCCTGATTTGGTTATCAATTTCCTTAAAAGTCATGGATTCTCTCGGCCCCAGATTATTCGTTTCATTACAGATGTCCCATCGTTTCTTCGATATGATCCTGAGAAAACCTTTCTGCCCAAGATTGAATTTTTCAAATCCAGAGGCGTTTTGAGCTCAAACATCCCTAGGATCATATGTAGTTGTCCTAGAATCATGGCAAGAAGCTTAAGGAAGCAGCTCATTCCTTCCTTTGACTTACTTCGAGATGTGTTTCGATCTGACGAGAAGCTCATTAAAACTCTTCAAAAGTACTCGGGCATTCTTATTGACAGCAACACACTTGCCCGGCCTAATATGGAGCTATTGCTAGAAGCAGGAGTTCCTCAATCAAATGTTATCAAATGTGTGCAGGATTTTCCTAGGATTTTTACTAGAAGACCTAACGAATTCAAGGACATTGTGGAAGAAGTTAAGGAAATTGGGTTTGATCATTTGAAGTATAATTTTCTTGTTGCTGTTTTTGTATACTTAGCGTTAGGAAAATCCTTATTCGCCAAAAAGGCTGATGTTTATAAGAAGTGGGGTTGGTCCGACAATGACATTCTCGTGGCATTTAGAAAGTACCCCTTGTGTATGATCACGTCTGAGAATAAGATTGATGCAGTAATGGAGTTTCTTGTCCATAAAATGGGCTGTGAGTCATCAACTATTAGCGAATATCCTTCAGTTTTTGGATTAAGTGTGAAAAGGCGATTGATACCAAGAGGTGCTGTCATTCAAGCTCTGCTGTCAAAGGGTCTGATGGAAAGGGAAACATTGTTTGCAACATTTATATACACTGAAAACTACTTTTTGGGGAAGTTTGTCCATTGTCATGTACAGGAAGCTACTGAATTGTTAGAGTTGTATCAGGCCAAACTGGATCTTGCGGAGTGAATGAAGAGTGAAAAGTAGGAAAGGCTTGAGGTATGGGTACAAACTATCTTCTCACCATAAAGTCCTGGTGGATCTAAAGTTATTGTGGAGGAACTGAAGGAGATGCGGTTTGATTCTTCAAAGATTCAGTTTTTTATTTCTATTCATGTAGGCTTATCCTTAACAAAATATCCACATGGGCTAAAAGGGTTGATGTTTGAGAAGTGAGGTTGGTCTGAAAATGGCATTTTTGCAGCATCTAGATATTTCCCCCTGTATCTTGCTTTCAGAGGATAAGTTGATGCAGTATCGGAGTGTTTTTGTCGATGAATTGGGTTGTGATTCTGCCACTATTAACAAGCATTCTACAGTTTTTGCATTGAGTTTGAGGAAGTGAATTATTCCTAGAGGTGCACTCATCCAAGTTCTGTTGTTGAAGGGTTTGATGAAAAAGAAAAAGTCACTTGCAATATTTGCATATACTGAAAAGCTTTTTCAAAGAAGGTTTGTCCCTTGTCATGGTCAGGAAGCTAGTGAATTACCAGAGCCGTATCCCCTATAAGTCTAAACTAGATCTTGCAATTTAAAGGAAGACCACAAAGGTTTCAAGGTATGGATAGGGAGTAAAGATTTTGCAATTGTTGAACTGTCTTCTCACTCCATTTCTTTTAATGCACTACACTACTTTTATGTTGTTTGCTCTAAGGTAGTTTGGACAGCACGTACATCAATGAAAAGTATCGTTTATGTTATGAGTTAAAAATTTTCTGCCTAAATCGATCTTCATAAAGTTGTATAGAAGCTTATACCGACAAATGTACAAAGCTATGAAAAATAACGGGTTCAATCCATTATGCTTTTATCAAAGAATTAGATGAGAAACATGCAATAATAAACTAAACTAATGCCAATATGTAAGCTTTCTTATAAATGGGAGGTCATAAGTTTAATTTCTGCTAATAATGTTAAGTTGTTAGTGTCTGTCCAAAAAAATGTAATAAACTAGTAATCCCCTCCAAAAACAACTGTTTAAGCTGACAGTTGATGTTGATGTTAGCTTGTAAAAGCATATCAGTGGTTTTGATGTTAAGTTAGTGAGTGTTTGGATTTCTGCAGAGGCGCTTTTTAAAAGTATTTTTTTGCAAATTAAGGAGGTATTTGAATGTAAACGAAACTATGGTTTCAAAAGTGCTTTTACGGTTTACGAAGTAAATATGTAGAGGAGCTTGTTTCGTTTTGTAGAAAAGTGTTTTTCAGAATCATTTTTGAGGGTTGCCAAACAACCCATAAGATGAACTTCTTTAGATATTTACTATGTATACCGCAAAATTATTTTTAAAACTATGATTTGGAAACATCTCTTTAATTGGTGCTGGCTTTTTGGCCAAAAAACCAAACATGCAAAATTGATTTCATTGGGACGTCCGAACGAAAAGCACAAAAGGAAATTGTGTACTTTTTGTGATTGTGCTTCTTATACCCTTCGTACTACTGTTATAATTTGTTTATTAATGACTTTTTTCAAATAAAATCAACTAAAAACTTTGATTTCAGTATTACTTCTTAAATAACTATTAACTGTTTTTTTAATTATAAAAGTATATTATAGTACATCCAATCTTTCACATGTTAAGCCTGTTTTCATTTAAAATTATGTCATTCTCTATTTTCATATTATAACAAGACACTAAATAAAATACTATCTCCATTTCTAATTATAAGATCTTCATTTATAGATTACAAATAAAGTCTTATAATTAAGATCAGAGGTAGTAAAAAGAATAATCGAATCGTCATTTCATTACTCATTTGACATAAAAAAGACAACTGTAGCATGAAAGAACACAACTGAACAATAGTTACCCTCACATCTTTGCTACAGCCACTCAACCATTAGCAACCAAATTGCTGTTAAATGACCCCACACAATTTAATTTATGCGAATAATGAGCTCATTCTCATTACGTGTCTAAAGTAAATGTTTTTTTTTTTTCCTTATTGTTTTGTAGCTCATTGACATGAAAGTTTTTATGTAAAAATGTCGTATGTTCAATTTTCTTATGATCTCACTTCTATAGTATTTTCAGGTTACTCTTAACCCTTTTTTAATTTTGCATGTCGCTTAGTCGCATCCATGTTACTCATAATTAATAAACTATGAATATATGGGCTAATGGTTATAATCAAAGAAATTACAATAAGATTAAATTATATGCAATGACAAATCAATTTTCCTGAAATAAAATGATGAAAAAATTATTAATTATTAAAATAAAAATAAAGAATAATTATATTCATTATTGTTTCTTCACATATATAGTTTATAATACTCTTCTGTCTGGTCATTAATATAGAACCTAATTGTTGAGTTGATTTTAGTCCTAAATATAAGACAGGTTTCTCATATTTATCAATTTTCTCTAAATTACCTTTATAGATACTCCTTTAACTATAATCAAGTAGAAGAGAAAGATGAGACATTAAGAAAGATGATTATAATATTTTAGAAAAAACGTGTCACATTTTTTATAATTAACTAACTTACCTAACTTTCTTAATCTAATCAAATTAGTTAAATGGGTCTTATATTAAGGACCGGAGGAGTATAGTTTATTTGGAAGTTTTTTAAATTCACGTGACAAAATTAATTCATAGTGTGATAGCCTGTCACGAGCCTCTCTAACGCTGTTCCTCTTCAAATTAATAGATTATAAATAATTAAAAAAAAATCTAAGATCCATAATTAAGGAGGAGATAAGACTCAAGAAAAAAGGGGAAAATTATAATGACCATATTAAAAATAAAATGAAATTATAAGAAATTGAATGTAAATTTTGTACATACATTGGTTAAATAAATAAAATATTTCAATGGTGTTTTCTTGAGAAAATCCACACACACTTGACAAACGTACGTCTGTACTTGAAATACATTTGAATTTCTCACGTCCGCTCAAAAAATTACTACCTCCTGTCCTCGATTAAAAGTTAATTAACTAATTTAAATAAATTAAAAAAATTGTTAAATTAGTTATTTACAATAAATAGTAACTGATTTTTCTAAAATATCTTACTAATCAAGTATATTAGCTTTAATATTTAGTAAAATATTTAATATGTGTAACTATTATAAAAATTATTTAAAAATAAATAAATAAATATAAAAGATAAAATAAATTTTGATACACTCACCCGAGCGTGATTAGATTTTTTTTTTTGGTCCTGTTTCAATGAACGCGGTAATTAAAATGGTCCCTTCTTTCGTCCTCATTTAAGTCTTGGACTCGTTTACTCCCCCAGTGTGACCCTGCCTCTGAGGCTTCATGTAATTTAAGTTTTCCTTTTCCTTTTGAAGCCTCCCCTGGATCCATGATTCCTTGTATTTCCTTCCTCTCTTCTTTCTCTGGGCAATTTCTCTGCCACTATCAATATGGCAGGTTTCTCATTTCTCTCCCTACTTTTCTCTCTTTTACGCATTTTCCCGTTTTGCTTTTTGTACTCTTCACTGACATTGTAATATCGAAGCAGAACCTCGTGACGATTCTGCACAGAATTCTCTCCTGTTTTCAAGGTGGTGGCTTTAGAGTCAGAGTAAGCGGTTTGACTGGTAAGTTTTCGTGTCTGTGCAATCAGATGGGCACTGTTCTTGCTTTCCCACATTTTTTCTCTGCTTTCTTTCTTTCTTTCATGCAATGTGTTTATCGTTTTCGTCTGAATTGACTGTGCTTCGAGAATCGTGAGCTGCACCGAACACCCCCTTGGACTTTGATTTTCTGCAACCCAGATACCTAACGAGAAAGCTGATACGCCCATCATATTCGAATGCGCATTTGAAACTTCTTAGGCTATAGCCTAGGTAATGAACTAAGCCTAACCTGTTCATCCCTACTTCAGTTAATTTCATTCTCTCCTTGCTGGTGGGAATTAAAATATTTGTTCACCGCCATTGGAGTATCCTGTCCTCTTTATGCGCTGAATTTTCTTTTTTCCTCTGGAGTAACTGGACGTATTTTCCCGCTGCCACACAATTCGTATCATTTTTAATATGTTTGATAGTAATTTTATTGTCTTGACCAAGATCAACAACTATGATATTCTCTGTTACTAGCAAGTAGATTGTAGATGTTCCACAAATTTTTTTGGGCTAAATAATAAATCTTCCTGTCAAAATGCAGGGGAGGAAGTGGCTCAATTATTCAATGGTTCACTTTCAGAGTGATCCTATCCCCGGAAATAACTGTTACGGTAACGGTAGTTCTCATCATTTTCCCGGTTCCGATGAAGGGCTAATAAGAGAAAGAGAGCTAAGTGGCAAGGGCTTTCATTTGAACAAATCAAGTGGTAATAATCATGGGGGGCCTTTTAGACAACGACTTTTGGTGGTGGCCAACAGGCTGCCAGTCTCAGCAGTTAGGACAAGTGAAGACTCGTGGTCCATGGAGATGAGTGCTGGCGGTCTTGTGAGAGCTCTTTTAGGTTGGTGTTGATTGCACTGCTATTTATTTATTTCTTTCTTTCCTTTTATACTCTTGGTGTATCATCATATTTCTAAGGAGTTGTATACCCTATCAAACGTTTGTATATGACACACAGTTGCTTTTTTCAGTCATTGATATACTGTTATGGGTTTAGAATAGTGAGTTTTGTACATAATTGATATCCTTGGGACTAAACTTCGTCTGTTTATATATAAAACGTTACCTAACATGACTGCATAAATTTACGAAGGTGTCAAGGAGATTGAGGCAATCTGGATAGGTTGGGCTGGTGTCAATGTGCCGGATGAGATTGGACAGAAGACACTTACTAAGGCTCTGGCTGAAAAGGTACGAAGTCTTATATCTCTTGAATAAAATTTGAGATTAACGCAATAACAACCATTCATCATTTGATCATATGTCATGCGAAATTTTTGGTAAAGGTTTTATAAATTTTCAGATTCTTCTTTTGCTTGAAACCTATGTTGCAGAGGTGCATTCCAGTAATTCTTGATGAAGAGATTGTCCATCAGTATTATAATGGTTACTGCAATAACATCTTGTGGCCCCTTTTTCACTACCTGGGACTTCCACAAGAAGATCGCCTTGCCACCACAAGGAATTTCCAATCTCAGTTTGAAGCATATAAGAAAGCAAATCAAATGTTTGCTGATGTTGTGAAAGAACACTATCAGGAGGGTGATGTTGTTTGGTGCCATGATTACCATCTCATGTTTCTTCCAAAATTCTTAAAGGATTATGACAGGAACATGAAAGTTGGCTGGTTTCTCCACACGCCATTTCCGTCTTCAGAAATTCATAGGATGCTGCCATCTCGATCAGAGCTCCTGCATTCTGTTATTGCGGCTGATTTAGTTGCGTAAGTTCCAACTTGCTCCTCCATTTAGGAATAAGTTTTTTCTCTTGAAAACAAATTACTTTTATTCCTTTTATTCTTTTTGGTTCCCTATCATAATACCTAAATAATGAGAACCTCTGAGATTTTTGGAGATCATAATGCTTCGTATCAAACTCTGCCTTTTTTCATTAACTATGAACTTTGCAAATGATGCATAATTTCTTTGTTTGACATTTTCTCTTCTTTTCATTTGTTTTGTTTACTTTGAACCCCCTCATCTCCTATGTTACCCATAATTGATTTCTCAAGAGTTTCCCGCCTTTAAGCTGTACGTGGTTTACTTTTTTATTTTTCTGCCTTTCCTTTCTTTTGTTTCTTACATGCACGTGTGCACTTCTTTTGAGCAGTTTTCACACCTATGATTATGCACGGCACTTTGTTAGCGCTTGCACTCGTATTCTAGGGCTTGAGGGTACCCCTAAAGGGGTTGAAGATCAAGGGAGGTTGACTCGAGTTACTGCAGTATGTGATCAATCATGTTCATTGTTACGCCTAGTTATTTTACATAACTTCTTAAACTTTTCACTTCAAGCTTTGCCTGTAAAAGCGAAAATGAAAGAGAGAGAAAATTTAACATTTTGCTTTACTTTGACCTAATATAATGATGATTAAATTCAGAAACACTTATTTGCTTCTTTTTCCCATGAATGTTAGTATCCGATTGGGATAGACTCAGATCGGTTCATATGTGCACTTGAGCTTCCTCGAGTTAAGGCTATCATCAGAGACTTCGAACAAAGATTTGAAGGAAGAAAGGTGTACTTTTTTACTTTGTTCCAGTAACTCAGTAATATTTGTCCTGAAAACCTACTGTTTGATTTATGTTTCTTTTCCTATAAATAAGTGGTATGACCTATCATTGTGTTTTTTTTTTCTTTTTTTTTTTTCTATCTGATTTACATGTTTGGCATGATTTATTAATTAACTTTTTTCTGATATTTCAGGTAATGTTAGGTGTTGATCGTCTTGATATGATTAAGGGAATTCCTCAGAAAATCCTAGCATTTGAAAAATTTCTTGAAGAGAATGCCTATTGGCATGATAAAGTAGTTTTAGTTCAAATTGCTGTGCCAACAAGAACAGATGTTCTTGAATGTATGATAATAACGTTACCTTGTCATGTTCTTGTGGCTTCTACAGTATAGCATTCTTCAGAATTGGCTTCTGCTATGATGTTTTGTCACTTCATGCACTGGGTGATAGAATATTTTCCTGTGCTGTCTTTAACTATTGAAATTATAATTTCCTTTTGGAACTAAGTAGGCCCACCTTTTTGATAAGTTTGAAACAGAAAACTAAGTTGAAATTCACATTTACACATACTGAAGTGAGGTTATTGCCATACTTTGTCAGCTTAGTTGTTTGCAAGCATATAGTACTGATGTGGGGGAATGTAAATATATGTAATGATTGCTGTTAGATGAAAATAGCATTTTGATATTTCATTTTTGTACTGCGTATAATCATGCATTATAAATTCATTTAGTCATAGCATGTCATATTCATTCTTACTGAATATTCATAATCAGTTGTTGTGACTTGTAATAATGAAATAGTAACGTTTGCAAAACGTATTCTGCATAACCTCTATAAATCATTAATTTATCATTACTATATACTAAGAATCCTAGTGCGGTCTGAATGAGCAGTAATTTCTCATTGAAGCTGAATTATTTGTAAAATATTACTGTAGCAGTGACATCCCCATTGTTTAGCTTTCTTTTTGTTCCTGAGGGACATAATTATATGAAAAGAATGCTTCTTGAACATTGGGTTTGCATTGACGTATTCTTTGGCCTTTTTTCTCCTTTTTGAAGTAGGGTGTTAATTTATGCTTTCTGGATTTTGATAGTCAACTTATTTCTTCCTTTTTCACAGATCAAAAGCTTACAAGCCAGGTTCATGAAATTGTTGGTCGCATTAATGGGAGATTTGGATCACTGACTGCTGTTCCAGTACTTCACCTGGTGCAGTCTTAACACTGATAATCTGATAACTGTAATAATAACACATGGTCACATAATAAGGGCATTCTTTTCTGTGAACTTTACCTAAAATCTTGTTGGATGATCTCATTCACCTCTTGCATGTGACTTTATTTATACTAATACTGATTTAACACGGATGAGATGAGGAGAATGATTGGGAGGGACGCAACTTAGAAATGAAAGTGATATTATCTTGTTTCAGCATAATCAGTCTTTCCAAAAATTTAGACAATTTAACTATGAACTTGGAAGTATCCTAAATTGCACAATTAACCATCTTAGAAATATTCGTGTCAACATAAATTAGTAGTGACTGATTCTTCATTTTATTATATTATTTTCATTTTTATCCCCTCTTGCTTAAATTGCATAATTTTTACTTTTACTTTTCAAATAACAAGACAAAAGCATTTTCTTCTTACAAAGTTTAATAAATTTTTTCTTTTCCTTCAATTTCTTCCCAAGAGAGGCTGAAGAAATTTTGTAAACAAGAGATGATCTGCAGGACCTTTTCTAATGTAGGACATGAACCTGGTGTTATACGAAGCATCATTATGCAGCTCAGTTCTTTAGTGTCACATTGTTTCAAAACAGCCCCGTTTGAGTTCTCAAATTTTCTCAGTTTCAGGTTTGTGTGAGGGGGTTCTAATTGCTGAATAAGTGAAATTGAATAATTAGCGATTATAGTAAAGCAATATGATTTTTGTGCATAGAGCATTCTTTGAAATAATAAGTAAAGGTAATGATGGCAATAATTGATTATCGTAGAACTTTAGTTGAGCAATCCTATGTGGAATAGAAGAAAAGGGAATTGAATTTGAACGATGGAAGAATAGATCATGGATAGAAAATTAAGAAACCTGAGCTCACCAACTGTCCTCACGTCCTTATTTTTTACATGGCTTGTAAGGTTTGAACTCTAATTAACTAACTATTTCTCTTGACAACTATGTTATTAAGTATTGATATCAGAGTCAAGTACTACACCATTAGAGAGCATGACAATTAAGCAGTGGGTTTTGTAGAACACTTAGGTGAGCTTCTAAATCATATATTAGGCAGGTTCAGTTCATGCTTCCTAACTCTTATTTGGCACAAGGATAGCAATTTTTTTTTTTTGGGGAGTGTGCAAGATATTACACTTTTAACAGATGTACTAGCATCCAATTATTGACCAGAAAACATGATATAATCTTCCAAATGGATTGGTCATCAATCACCGGTACTTGGTAGGACTGATGGCACAGTTCCATTTCTGCTTCACCCTTGAATTTTTACCCTAGAAGTTAAAAATGCAGCCTCCCTCTTTTTTCTAAATTAATGAATGTAGCCAAGAATGATTAATGGTAGAGGATTTATTCATTATTATGAGCTTTTAAGTTTAGATCAGTACTGGTATGTGATACAAAGACACTTTTACCATATTGCATCATTTTTTTGGTCATCTACTGCTTTTATTTACTTCTGATCTAGAACTTATTAAAGACAATGCCAGATAACCTGATGCATTTGTTCCGTCTACAGGATCGCTCTCTTGATTTTCATGAACTATGTGCTTTGTATGCTGTAACTGGTAAAATTTCTGTGCTGTTGGTGTATTTTGTTTAAATTAAGTTTCACAGTCAATGATCCTCTGACTTAGATCCCACCACCTTAGTGATTTGTCTATCCTGAATTACGATGTCTTATGAGTCTCTTCTGTTTTCAAATGGTCAATTAATCATCTGTGCATGTGAAGTTAATATTTTGCTTCTTTTAAAATGGAATTATCTGTTTTTAAAACTTTCTTCTCGGCATCAATTTCAATGCTATGTTTTACGAAATCAAATTGGCCATTAGGAATATCAGTTTTTATTTCTAATCTGTGCCAGAGATTGTACAAAATGATATATGCATTTTTTTTTTCTTGTTCATAGTTTCCCTTTCCCTTTATGTATGAATTCATTAGGTAGAATGGAGCTCCTTAAAAGTTTTAGAAATTCCCTGGAGAAGTTACATTTTAGGTTTGCTTCTCTGGCACCAAGTTTTGTGAATTGTGACATAAGTTACCTTATGGCCTGAGAGTCTGATCGCTTTCTGATATAGGTATTTTCAGGAGTTTTACTAATAAGTGTTAGTGTCTTGTTTCTATGTTGATTTTTAATTTTGTTTTATTTCGGACTTCCTTTTTCCTTTTTTTGTAACTTTTTTCTAATGTGGCATAACTTGCCTCTTATAATTCTTAACCAGATGTAGCCCTTGTGACATCTTTGAGGGATGGGATGAATCTTGTCAGCTACGAATATGTGGCTTGCCAGGAGAGAAAGAAGGGGGTACTCGTTCTTAGTGAAGTAATCACATCAACCTCCGTATTCATTCTTGGATTTAATTTCTCAAGTCAATTTTTAATTATTGTTAGGTAGATAATGCAATCAGATGTTGAAAAAAATTTCAACCCTGCTGGGATTCCTGATTAGAATCTTCTGATTATCATTATTAAATCCATCCCTCGGTGTACACTCTTGTTCTTTGCATGCACTGTGATTAATTTGCCCAGCGGCCATTACCGTCTAGAAGCACTTGACAGGCTTTTCAAATATGGGAGAGAAAATGGAAAGAGAAATGGAGAGAAAAAGATGAAGGAAATAATTGGGAGACAAAATTATACAAACAACTGATGCTCAATAGGTCTGACTTGTCTGAAAAACTTACAATACTATCATGCTATTTATAGGGAATCATAAATATAAGGGCAGTTGAGTAAAATAAGCCAGAAAATAAAAAAAATAAAAAAATAAAACTAAAATGTCTCTGAACTTGAGTCTCCTACTTAAGCTGGGTTTACATTTTTCCATTATCCATGCCACATATAGGCCTCGTAACTGGCACTGTTTTTTTGTTCGTTTGCTACATGCTGTCATACCCAAGTATCCAACACAATCAGTCTACCAAATCACCAGTTAAAATGCTTCTTAGATTGTGTCCAGCCTGCATCACTACACTTGTTTTGCCCAAATTTTTAGCACTTGAAGCAGCTTGGGTAGATGATGAAAATAATGACATTTTGTTTATCTTTGTTGATGTTATGAGATTGGATTTACAGCCTTCATCTTGATTGATCAAAACATCTATCTGGTCTAAGAAAATTATTTTCCGCATATCTCATCCACATACCTAGATGTATTCACTGTGCTATACTCCCTGTAGTTTGCTGGTGCAGCACAGT